TTGAATGGTAAAATTGGATACCCCAATGGCTTTTGCCTTGCCGGCTCGGTAAAAGTTCTTCGAATTTACGCCAGATGGGTTCCAAGTTGTTAGTGATGTCTTTCCGGATGATGTACTACTCAAAGTTATTGATTTAGCCAAGATGGAAATTTTGATGTCAATTGATGGATCATACCTTTCCATCATCTCCGAGCTTAACCTCATAGTCGTCGGTTCTCTCGGCCGCGAAAGGCCAATGCATCAAGAAAGAATCCACATAATCAAGACCAAGTTTCTCTAAACTATAATTTAGACTCCACTCGACATCTTCGGGGGAACCGCATAGATGAGGCCACACTTTAGTTGTGATGAAGATATCTGAACGTTTGACACTTGGGTTGTTGGACAAGAATTCCCGCAAGCCTGACCCAACCTCTTCCTCATTTTTGTAACTGCATTGTGTTAGTTTCAGATTTCCAAACTCTAATACCAAATGAAGATTCCCAATACTTTGGCACCCCATCACCAAGGGTTACGTTACAAGATTAGTGGATCCAAGGAAGGGATTAGCCCGGGAGATTCCCATAAGACAGCTAAGAAGAAGGGATAAACATGAGACATAGGGGTTGAACTTACTACCAAGCACAATCAAGATGACGATAACCTGATTGTAGAGCCCAAAGAACAGCATCGTGGCATTTTCCTGGAGATCCTTCGCTTTGGAAAGTACCAAATCCTAACGCTGGTATTGTGGCTCCATTGTTCAATTTCAAAATAGGGATTGACATGATGATGATGATGATGATGATGGATTTTAACAATTTCTTAAATCGAGGAATAAATATTCGTATGGAGCTAGTGTGAGAAGGGAAATGATTTCTGAGCTTGGAAGCTATCGCGATATTTCGGAGGTCAAAGAAAATGCACCGAGGAATCTGTGTACATGTGTTGAGTTAAGGCCACGGTCATGAAAGGGACTCTTCGATAGAGAATGTTGAAACTTGGAACTCGGAACTTGGAGGTCACAAATAAAGTGAAGAAAACGTGGCCGGATGGAAATTGTGGAATCTGAATAATCTGAATAATCTGAATCCGAATGTGGAATAGAATCTGGATTTGATGGCTATAATTGTGGTAGTATAGCAAGATGTATCATGTCTGAAAGTATATTTTGATTTTGGTTTTAGTTTTGATTTTGATTTGATTTTAGTTTTGATTTTGATTTGATTTTAGTCTTGATTGTGGGTTCTGTTGGTTCTTCTGGTTACTCTTTCCCATGTGAAACGTGGTAAGTGCAATCAATCAATACTAGTTTGTATGGGCCGTACCGAATTTCAAAGAGTGGTGGGTCATCCTTGACATCTGTCGTTACACAAACCAAAACAAATCCAAAATCCAAAATCCAAAATCCAAAATTCAAAATTCAAAATCTAAAATCCAAAAATGCAATGATTTTTCTTTTCATACAAGGATTCTCGTGGGGGTCTTTGGGTCTTCTGGAAACAGATGAACCTTCCTCGATTGAGTTAAAAGGGTTCATTACACTTTTAAACTTTGATATAATTAGACCTAGTCGTGCGTCTGTTAGCTTCCTCAAGCCTCACTCACATGCGGAGTACTTGCTACTCATGGTTAAGAAAGGCTCAATGTCCCGAATTTGTGCCCAATATCATGTAGTAAAACTGTTAGAGGGCCCAAGTAGAGGGGTCGTGGATAGTTGAAATGATTGGCCATCACCTTGTATCACTTGACTAGTTGGAATCGCACTCATTGTTCATGTAAATGAATGCCTGCTCGACGCTCGTACGTACTGACCCCGCTTGTATCACCTTGCGGCCCGAGCCGCGCTAGATGGGACAGAAGTGGAGGAAGTCGAGGGAGTATTCTTCCTGATGCATGTTGTATATCAAACAATATGCGCACTGCAGTTAGAAAGATAGATACGATATTTTGATGCTTTCACCCTGCATGTAATTTACTTAGCTCTGTTTCGAGTCAGTTAAAGCAGGATATGATCCCCCTCAATATGAGATTCTGTTCGTTGTTGCCTCTTATCTGATTTGTATGCAGAGATTCGGAGTTGGATTTGAGCAATTAGTGCTGCCTGTATGACACGAAGCAGAACAATGACGCTAGATTGTGTAATTTGGAGTCGGTCATGTACAGTTTCTGCAGCTGCAGTGCAATGCAGAGGTAGTTCCCACAGGTAATGATGCATTTCTTCCTTATACGCCAACTGCATTGTTAACCCCATGGAACTGACGCATCCGAGGGATATTTCCTGTCTTTTCCAACACTCATGTCTCTTCGCTCCATCTCTTCTTTCCCAACAACAAATGCGCCACCAACAGTTAGTAATCCACTACTCACCTTAACCAACATTACACCACCCATATGGGGTCAAAACCTCCTTCAGACCCTGGAGGGCAGCATAGAATCTTCCATTTTCACATGAAAAACAGCCTATCTACTACCCGCAAGTGAATACCGCACTCTCTGAAACTCATTCCTCCCTCTCTCCGTCTACTTCCGGTCCATGTTTCCTCGTTAGAATGGTTTGACAATTCATCCAAGAGTCAAACTTCGTGCGTGCATGCAACCCTTAAGCTATGAAGTCTAATCCTTCGCGGGTCCACGAAAGAAATGTTCGTTCATTCGCTAAATGGTCCCGAGCTGCAATGCCTTTTTTCCCTAGCGGTTTGTTGACTGAAGGAAAGGCATGCATGAGTTTAGACATTCCCACTGCACTCTACCTCCTACTTCTTGAATTACTGCTTAGAGCCTAGCTGGAATGGCAAAGGTAATATATGTAACAAGTAGTCGACAAAATAAGCGAATGGATTCAAAATAATGGTTCTGAGCTAACATATATCACGCCCTAAAATATTAATATTTAACAGTAATAAATGCCCTAAAAGTATATATTTCCCAAGGGGATAAAACATTAAAACCTAAGCTAGACCAATCCCACAGCCATATTTCAGAATAATCCAAAATCCAAAATCAGATCTAACGGAATGGAGATGAAACGACGAATAGACATTTACTATTCTGAGAAATGATCAGAGAGTGCTTAGATGGTAACTCTGAGTAATTAATACCTACCTAGCGATCTGATCTGATAACAACTTCTTTAATTCGACGACTAGCTTCAGAAAGTATTTAAAATTCATTTGAGGGTGTTTCAGCATATAGTAACATCCAAACTTTTGCGGGAAGAAACTCTTTGCGTTGTATCAGCCAGATAACATTGATCTATTTCATGCATTAGCAGAAGGAAATACTCAATGTTTCTTTCAGATATTCTGGCAAACTTCATGGTATTACCTTATTTTTTATCTTTATTTTTCTCTTTATCCTGATATATAGCAAAACTAAAAATCCCATCCAAACTTACATATATGATAATTAAGCCATGCTACCTCGAACATATAAATTCCCTCTTCACCATATCATCAATTCTCTTCCCG